TTTACGTAACATCGTCCCTTGAAAACATTTGATCTTGTTGACACACGGTGAACCGCATTGTCCTTTATGTTAAACGAGTCGGTGTTCAGTTCAGATAATAGAAGCGTACAATCCGCACTTCCCCCTGTGTGGCTCTTTACTGTGGACTTTGATGATCCTTCGTAACACAAACGATTCCTCTGCACTCGTCTCTTCTTCTCTCCCTCCCTTCTTTCGTTCTTTGATTGGCGGTGTGGGTCCGGTGCCAGCTCTTTGTTCCCGTTGCCGGCAGCAGCAGCAGGTCGAGCAGGATTCTGAGGTAGTTGCTGTTTCTGCCCGAGCCAAATGGAGCTGAGCCAAACACAGCAGGAGTTTGTAGTCTCTTCTGTTTCGTATTTACTTTACCGCCTTCACCGGGACACATCCACACACCGGCTCTGTGGCAGAAAGAGGCTACGCTGCTGACTGCGCACAGGGAAATACTCAAACTGGAAAACTTAACTTAACTCTTACCTGATTTGACTGTTTCAAGAACGTGGAAAACACAGCAAGTTCAGTTTATAAGACCCTATTTTGTGATCTACGTTCTAATGTTGTTTCCTCCTCAAAAACATACCCGGAATTGTGTTTTGTTTCATTCACACATACCAAATTTTACTGACTTAAGAACATTAAAAACAGAACTAGTTAGTTTTAAAGGTCCCACATTACGCAAAATGGACTCTTGTGAGCTTTAAGTCATGTTCTAATGTTGTTCCTCCACAAAAACACACCTGGACTTGTGTTTTGTTTCATTCACACATGACTGATTTTACTGTCTTAAGAATGTGCAATCCAAACTGCATAAAGGCCACGGGAATGTGCAATCAAAACGGCACATAGGTCAACAAAATGTGCAATCAAACTGCACATATGTCAATGGAATGTGCAATCCAAACTGCACATAGGTTAACGAAATGTGTGCAATCAAAACTGCACATAGGTTAACGAAATGTGCAATCAAAACTGCACATAGGTCAATGAAATGTGCAATCAAAACTGCACATAGGCCAAGGGAATGTGCAATCAAAACTGCACATATGTTTAGGAAATGTGCAATCAAAACTGCACATCAGACAAAGCAATGTGCAATCAAAACTGCACATAGGTCAACGAAATGTGCAATGAAAACTGCACATGTGTCAACAAAATGTGCAATCAAAACTGCACATATGCTTAGGAAATGTGCAATCAAAACTGCATATAGAACAAAGCAATGTGCAATTCAAAACTGCACATAGGACAACAAAATGTGCAATCAAAACTGCACATAGGACAACAAAATGTGCAATCAAAGCTGCACATAGGTCAATGAAATGTGCAATCCAAACTGGACATAGGACAAGGGAATGTGCAATCAAAACTGCACATAAAACAACTGAAAGCACAATCAAAACTGCACATACGTGAACAGAATGTGCAATCAAAACTGCACATAGGCTTATGGAGTGTGCAATTATTAATAAAATACAAGTAGGGTTTCCCTGTTTAGAGTGACTTAAAGATCCTGTCGGTGCATCACTCGTGGTCAGACTTGGTCTCTTACTTATTTCTTATATATTATTTTATCTTCCGGCTCCATCGAGTTTGGCTCCAGTTGACTTTACATTGAAAAACTGCCCTTCCTCTTTCTGTAACTGCTGCTCCGAGCCTTGTCATTTTGATCTTAAAATATTTGTATTAACCCGCTCTACATGTTCCTGGTGTTTTTGTCCGTAAATACATTTCTGTTCGTAATATAGCACTGCTCCAAATTCGCTCCAGCCTTGATGAGCTTCATTTGACTGGACGCTGTGGGTGACGTCACACTCCGTTACTTCTGTACACGGTCTTTAGCGTGTACATAGGCCGTGTGTGCGCTGTTGTATGTGCTGTAGATGGCTGTGAGGGCCTTATGTTCTTGTGGAGTAGGTGTGTGCTTTTATAGGCAGAGGAATGCACGATATTCCAGGGAGATTGGCATTGGCTGGGCTCCTGTGGGGATAATGGCTCTGTGGCGTGAGAGACAGTGTTTACCTGAAGAGGGAGCCGCGGGTCACACGTAAACAAGGAACAATCAACTACTACACTTTTCTTCTTTTTTTTTTTTTTTTAAATTAAAGGTTCACTGTGTCACTTTTTAGTTGGGGGTTCACCTGCTCGTCTCCATGGAGTTGCTATTGTTTTGTCTGGAATGTCCCGGTGTGGCATTAAACGTATCCACCTTCCACTAGAAAACTTACACGGTGCACACTATTATGCATAAAGTTACTCTAGTAAAAGTAAAAGTACAGCACATGAAAACAATCTACTTAATTGACAGTATTAAAGTAAGAGTAAAAAGTAAAAGTACTTCCCTCAGATTTTTGAAGTGTTAAATGTCGTGATACTGAGATTTTGGTCGACAGTGTCAATATGAAATATCAATAATATAATTTTCTTACATATTTTGTGTATATTTTTGTGTTTGCTAGTACTCCTACTACTACTACTACTACTACTGCTACTACTACTACTACTACTACTGCTACTACTACTACTACTACTACTACTACTGCTACTACTACTACTACTACTGCTACTACTACTACTACTACTACTACTACTACTACTACTACTACTACTACTACTACTACTACTGTTACTACCACTACTACTACTGATACTACTACTACTACTACTACTACTACTACTACTACTACTGACTACTACTACTACTACTACTACTACTACTTACTACTACTACTACTGCTACTACTACTACTACTACTACTACTGTTACTACCACTACTACTACTGATACTGATACTACTACAACTGCTACTACTACTACTGCTACTACTACTACTGGTACTGCTATTGCTACTACTACTACTACTACTACTACTACTACTACTACTACTATTACTGTATACTACTACTGCTACTACTACTACTACTACTACTGCTACTACTACTACTTACTACTACTACTACTACTACTACTACTACTACTACTACTACTACTACTACTACTACTACTACTACTGATACTGCTACTACTTCTACTACTGCTACTCCTACTGCTACTGCTACTACTATTACTACTGCTACTACTACTACTACTACTACTACTACTACTGATACTACTACTACTACTACTACTACTACTACTACTACTACTACTACTACTACTACTACTACTACTACTACTACTACTACTACTACTACTACTACTACTACTACTATTGCTACTACTACTACTACTACTACTGATACTGATACTACTTCGACTACTACTACTACTGCTGCTGCTGATACTACTACTGCCACTACTACTGCTACTCCTACTACTACTGCTGCTACTACCATTACTACTACTACTTCGACTACTACTACTACTACTACTACTACTACTACTACTACTACTACTACTACTACTACTACTACTACTGCTGCTGCTGCTAGAGGCGACCCCACTCACAGTCAGAATGTCTGTTTTCCACCTGTAATTGAATAAATGTAAAGTAGAGCTGTTTAAAGTCATACTGTGGAACATTCCAAACAAAGCAATGACATCTCCATAGAAACAAGGACCCCCAACCGAAAAGTTTTACATACAGCACTTTAATACTTGTACTTGTCTGCCTTCTTCCGCTGCATGTAAACACTCTTTGGTATACTTTTCGTCTTTCTTCTCCTCTGGTTTTGTTCCGTTGAGCAAACTGATATCAGATAATTACGTCTGCTAACAGGATGTAGCTTCTCTTCACCAAGTCTTGAAATGGGTCAACGCTGAGTCATGCAACTGTAATGTAAAGATAATACACACCAAACACACACACTGTACACACACACTAAACACACACACAGCGAACACACACACCAAAGGCAAAGTTCACTAATTAGATAATGAGAAGTGACTGTGAGTTCAAATAAGCATTACAAAGTCGATTTTAATAACTGAACGCACATGGTGTACCGGTACAGCCTGTTTCAGCTCCCACTCTTTTATTCAGTTATTCGTTTTAAAGGTGCACTGTGTAACTTTTCTGATTGAAGGTTCACAACCTGCTTGTTATTGTTTTGTCAACAACAACACAAAGTAGCAGTACCAGTTGTAGTGCCAGCAGTAGTCCCAGTAGTAGTCGTTTTAAATATAGTACCAGGTGTACTTCCAGCAGTAGTAGTATCACTTGCAGTACCAGCAGTAGTCCCAGTAGTAGTACCAGTTGTAGAACCAGCAGTAGTTCCAGTTGTAGTACAAGTAGTAGTTCCAGTTGTAGTACCAGCAGTAGTTCCAGTTGTAGTACCAGCAGTGGTGCCAGTAGTAGTACCGATTGTAGTACCAGCAGTGGTCCCAGTAGTAGTCCCAGTAGTAGTCCCAGTTGTAGTACCAGCAGTAGTCCCAATAATAGTACCAGCAGTAGTCCCAGTAGCAGTACCAGTTGTAGTACCAGCAGTAGTTCCAGTAGTAGTACCAATTGTAGTAGTAGTAGTAGTAGTAGTAGTAGTTGTAGTAGTTGTAGTAGTAATAGTAATAGTTAGTAGTAGTAGTAGTAGTAGTAGTAGTTGTAGTAGTAGTAGTTAGTAGTAGTAGTAGTAGTAGTAGTTGTGTAGTTGTAGTTGTAGTTGTAGTAGTAGTAGTAGTAGTAGTAGTAGTAGTTGTAGTTGTAGTTGTAGTTGTAAGTAGTAGTAGTAGTTGTAGTAGTAGTAGTAGTAGTTGTAGTTGTAGTAGTAGTGTAGTAGTAGTTGTAGTTGTAGTTGTAGTTGTAGTAGTAGTAGTAGTAGTAGTAGTAGAAGCTTGTCTTCTGATTCCATTCTCCTGTGTTTTATCTCTTCTTTGTAAAGGGCACCGTCGGAAGCTGGATGACTCCCCTAAAGTTGTAGTACCAGCTGTAATACCAGCAGTAGTAGTATCAGTAGTTGTAGAAGTAGTGGCACAAGTAGTTGTAGCAGTAGTAGTAGCAGTAGAATCCTTTTTACTGACTCAATTTTCTTCTCTCTTTCTCTTTTTGGTAAAGGGCACCGTCAGAAGCTGGAGGACCCTCCTAAAGCCGGCCTCTTCTCGGACAGACTGAGCGAGCTGGAGCGGATGAGGGTGAGGGTGACCGTGCCCACCCAAGCACCCAGACCCAGCCTCAACACAGCACCCAACTCCTTCACCCCACAGGGTCAGACGCAGATCACAGGTGAGACGCCAACAAGACACACACTCAACATGCACTGTGGAACTTTTTAACCGTGGTGTAAAAGCAGACAGCAAGTAAAAGTACACATACCAGCGAGTAAAAGTATCACATGAAAATATCTACTCAAGTAAAAGTATTAAAGTACCAGTTTGAAAATGCACTTAAAGAGTAAAAAGTATTTTGTATGTTTAGTGGAGGGTCTGCCGCCTACTTGTTTCCATGTAATAGTAGTAGTAGGTATAGTAGCAGTAGTAGTACTAGTAGTAGTACTGGTAGTAGTAGTAGTAGTAGTAGTAGTAGCAGTACTAATAGCAGTAATAGTAGCATCAATAGAAGTAGTAGTAGTAGTAGTAGTAGTAGTAGTAGTAGTAGTAGTAGTAGCAGCAGTACTAGCAGTAGTAGTAGTACCAGCAAAAGTATCAGCGGTAGTACCAGTAGTAGTAGTAGTAGTAGTACTAGTAGTAGTAGTAGTAGTAGTAGTAGTAGTAATAGTAGCATTAGCAGTACAAGTAGTAGTAGTAGTAGTAGTACTGGTAGTAGTGGTTGTAGTTGTAGTAGTAGTAGTGGTAGTAGTAGTAGTAGTAGTAGCAGCAGTACTAGCAGTAGTAGTAGTACCAGCAAAAGTATTAGCGGTAGTACCAGTAGTAGTAGTAGTAGTAGTAGTAGTAGTAATAGTAGTAATAGTAGTAGTAGTAGTAGTAGTAGTAGTAGTAATAGTATGAGTAGAAGTAGTAGTAGTAGTAATAGTATCAGTAGAAGTAGTAGCAGTAGTAGTAGTAGTAGTACTAGTAGTACTGGTAGTAGTGGTAGTAGTTGTAGTAGTAGTAGTGGTAGTAGTAGTAGTTAGTAGTAGTAGTAGTAGCAGTACTAGCAGTAGTAGTAGTACCAGCAAAAGTACCAGCAGTAGTAGCAGTAGTAGTAGCAGTAGAACCATCAACATCAATAAAGTAGTAGTATTCAAAGTTGTAGTAGTGATAAAACTTTGTAGAATTGTAGTATCAGTAGTATCAGTAGTATCAGTAGTATCAGTAGTATCAGTAGTATCAGTAGTACTGTCTGTTGTGCTCATATCTCCAGGTTTGGCTCGGCTCCAAACCTTTATACTTGTACATTCTGCTCAGTCTGTGTGTGGATGGACAGAGTCTCAGCTCAAGTGCAGCGTGTGTGAAAAGTGTCAGACGTTCAAAGAGACGTTGATGTGTTTCAAAGGTAACGTGAGCTCAGAGTGTGGAGCAGGACGGTTCTGGAGCTCCACTCCGTCTGCACTTTGAGCTCTCGTCATCCTGTCACATGATCACAGCACATCCAAGCTCAGACACACTCATCATCTACACATTTCACAGTTTATTCCAGACCGGCTTTTACTTTTACTGCACCAGGCTCTGTGGAGGGGCTGTGGGGCTCTGTGTGGGTGCTCTGGGGCCGCTGTGTGGGTGTGGGGGTGTCATCATGTTTCTCTATCAGCTCCGTGTTCATACAGCACGAGGTGGAGGTGGAAGACAACATATAAATGTAAAAATGTACAGATCATAACCTTTTTTGTGTGTGTGTGTGTGTGTCACCTTTGTTTGTCCCAGTACGTCCATCCAGACAGGGCAGTGATTGTAGGAACAATCGTCTTTAGTCTGAACTTTAGTCAGTTACTAATACTGTGCCAATTATTCCTAGGATATTTTCTAGGATCATATTTATTCCAAATCATTCGGTATATTATTCAAAGGTACATTATGTAACTTTCTGGAGGTGACTCATCACCTGCATGATTCCATGGAAATACAAAGTACACTGCAAATTTCTCTGATCCAGCCCAGATTTTAAAAATTATATCAGATTATTTATCTTGTTTTCAGATTTATTATCTACTTATAGTTCTGAATTGGATCATTTATTTGAAGATAGCCTGTCAAGTAAAATGATCTTGCTGCATGGACAGATCATTTCACTACTTTTCTGATAGATGTAAATGTTTATATCTTAAGTTTTGGCCAAGTTTTTTTGCAGTGTCAAAAGCATACTTTGGAATATTATGGAGAAGAAATGTCTGCTCCTCCTGCTCCTCCTGCTCCTGCTCATTTCTGCTCATTTCCACTGAACTACATTTCAGTGGAAATGAGCAGGAGGAGGTCTGCTTGTACTTAAAGAGTAAAAAGTAAAAGTATTTCACACAGATATTGGGATCTACAACTTCAAACGCAGTGATTTTGATAAAGAATTGTGCAAAATGTTAAACTGAATGGATCTTTTGTGCCTGTAAGCTCATTATAATCAGCCATGTTTATTCTGCCACTAAAACTTTGAACGGAGCATGAAAGTGTTTGTTTAACATAATCTCGCTCAGGCCCAAACATGCCCAGAATAACGGGCTGATTCCACCACGTGCATCTGCTCCACGCTCGCTCTGCTAACTGCTCACCTGTCGTGCTGAATGAGGGTCACAGCCAGAGCTCCGCCCACTCCGCCGTGCTCCACCCACTCCGCCAGAGCTCCGCCCCCTCTGCTCTGGACACCAGTGACACCACAGGCCCACTGCAGGGGGGACCTGTGTCACTTCTAGTGTTTTATATACCAGTGTAGTGTATATCGGGGTGGGCAGTTCTTTTTCCCATGATGCCACATGAGAAACTGAAAATACTGTGGAGGCCAAAATGTTTAATTCAATTCTGCTTAATATGAATTGTATTTCTTTATAAGTAGTAGTAGCAGTAGTACCATCAATAAGTACTGATCAATAAGTAGCGATAAAGCCAAGACTTGTAGTATCAGAAATAGCAATAGTAGCAGTAGTATCAGTAGTATTAGTAGTAGCAGCAGTATCAGTAGTATCAATGGTAGCAGTAGTATCAGTAGTATCAGTAGTAGCAGTAGTAGCAGTAGTAGCAGTAGTAGTAGTAGTAGCAGTAGTATCAATGGTAGCAGTAGTATCAGTAGTATCAGTCAGTAGTATCAGTAGTATCAGTAGTAGCAGTAGTAGTATCAGTAGTCAGTAGTATCAGTAGTATCAGTAGTAGCAGTAGCAGCAGTAGTAACAGTAGTATCAGTAGTATCAGTAGTAGCAGTAGCAGCAGTAGTAGCAGTAGTAGTAGTAGTAGTAGTAGTAGTAGTAGTAGTAGTAGCAGTAGTATTATCTGCTGTGATCATAGCTCCAGGTTTGGCTTGGCTACAAACCTTTATATTTGTACATTTTTCTCAGTCTGTGTGGACGGACAGGCCCAGCTCAAGTCCAACATGTCGGAAAAAGTAATATTAATTAAATCAATTAATATTAATAGTATTTCTTGATAAAAAGCAGTAAATATCATTGTTTTAGTGAGCTGCTCAGACTGGGAAGAGTTTATGTTCTGACTAAACAATGAAAAAGTGATGCTGTCGTACAAAAAATGTCATTTTAAAAACACCTCTAAAATAAAAACAGTGCGGCTTTAGTTCACGCATGAGGTCAAATGATAAAATAAGTATGTTTATTTTGTAATTCTAAATGAGATTTAAGGGGTCATATGTGGCCCAGGTCTGGTATTTGTATTAGTAATTAATTTAATAACCAACAATATTTAATTAGGCCTGCAAAAAGCTATAATCAAATCATACACAAATATATATAAAAAAAAATAAGTACATTAAGCCTGCTGATAATTTCAAAAGGACATTCAAAATAGTAGTAGTAATAGTAGTAGCCTGAATAGTGAATCGTGTACAGGAAAGCAAATACACGGAGGATAAAATTGTGGTCTCAGAGCCATGTAAACGCTGCGGTTAGTGAGACGCCATGATCCCGGCAGGACTGAGGCAGGACACATGTCGCTGCGAGACCTCTGGGATCCTGTGTCTCCGTCTCCGTCACTCTGCTCCACGACATCCAGGAAAGAAACTCCATCTCTCACGATTCAAGATGGGCGCCGCCTGATCACTCACACCTCGCACCTCGCACCCTCTGCACACGGCACCGTTTAGCCCGGCGATCCTCCCCGGCCCTGCGCTGGCTCTTCTGAAGGACGCTTAAACTGTGGAATCGGACACAGCGTAACATTGTAGACAGAGAGGAGAGGACCGAATTTTAAATAAATACTGAATTTGTAGCAGATGGCAAAGTGTGGAGAAGTGAATTATATAATCAAGGCCCATTTTGTGTAGGCTGATCAGATTTTCAAATCAAAAACTGGGACACTCTCGGTTTGTGGTGGTTGGTAACACTGTTGGGCAAGTTACTTTAAAACTGTAATGCGTTATTTATTACTCATTACTGTCATTTCAAAGTAATTTGTTACATTACAATATTACTGCATTTAAAAAGTAAGGCATTACATTATTATTGCAGCACTTTTAAGTTACTCTCACAAAAATAACTGTGTGAAGATGCTGAACTTTTACGCCGTATATGGACTAAACCAGAGCTGAACCAGGACTAAACCAGAGCTGAACCAGGACTAAACCAGGACTAAACCAGAACTGAACCAGGACTAATCTTGGGCTAGAACTTGGAAGCGCTTTGCAGACAGGGTTTCCACAAAGCGCGATCGGGCGTCAGCTGCGGTTCGCCCCGTGGAGCACAGAGTTCTGCGCCGGTCCTTTCGCCCGCGGTTACCTGACCCGGCGTTTCACCTCTGCTATTATCGCGATAATTTTAGCGAATTTGTATGAAGAAAAACCCACCACTTCAATCCAGGTTTAAAAGCATTGTAAGACGCGTTACTGACATTTGTACCGAGTAAAATATTATGTTTTTCCCTGTAATGCCATATTACTGCGTTACAGCAAAAAGCAATGTATTACAGGAATTTATTACTTTTATAACACATTACTCCCAGCACTGGTTGGTAATAATAAAACTGTGATATGAGTGTGTAACGAAGGAGAACTGTTCTGCACTTGTCCCATTCATGACAAATGTCAGTATAGTCACATTTTCTTTATGTTTTGGTCGTTTTTAAGCAGCTTTTCTGTATTTTACCTAAACAAATGTCAGTTTATGTTTCTCTTTACTGTTGGCAGGGATCAAATTGGTCTAAAATAGAGACACCAGGCACATTTCTTGTATAAAACTGGGACAAATTGTTGGTTTTGGATAAGTCCATTGGGACAGAGGACACAGAGCTCAAAACAGAACTGTCCGGGGTAAACAGGGACATCTGGTCACTCTAATTTTCTGCTTAACTGACACTGCAGATGTCACTCAAATTCAAGTGTCATCTGAGTCTAGTTCCTTGTACATTATTTAAATGTACTGAGAAAATGCCATGTTCAAAATTGGAAAAGTCACAAAAGTGAAATTGAAGTTGTATAATTCTCTCCACAGGGTGTCATGTTGTAGAAAAAACTGTCAGACTGTGGAGTTCAGACTCAGATTGGAGAATTTTGTTTATTGCAATAAAAAGACAATAATGATCTGTGGTATGTTATGTGTAAACGTCATCATATCTGTCATTATTTTTACCTGGACTCCAGAAAATTGCTATTTCATTTTTTCCCCAAAATGTTCAGCTCTAGTTTGTAGAATTGTATCTATTTTTACAGACACATTCAAATACTCACAGATCACAGATTTAGTCTTTGTCTCTGGTTCTGTGACGCTACAGAGGATTTGATCACTTCTCTTACTCCTCTCTCTCTTTTCTCTCTGCTCTGTGTGGTTTTATTCTGGTGTCCTCTTCCTCTTCTTTCTCCTCTCTCTCTCTCCTTTCTCCTCTCTGTTTCTCTCTCTCACCTCTTTTCTCTCTCTTCTCTTTTCTCTCTCTCTCCTCTCTCGTCTCTTTTCTCTCTTCTCTTTTCTCTCTTCTCTGTCTCTCTCCTCTCTCGTTCCTTCTCTCTCCCCTCTTTCTCTCTCTGTCTCTTTTTCTTCTCTCTCTCTCATCTCTCATGTTCCTTCTCTCTCTCTCCTCTTCTCTCTCTCTCATCTCTCTTGTTCCTTCTCTCTCTCTCTCTCTCTCTCTCTCTCTTTCTCTCTCTGTCTGTTTTTCTTCTCTCTCTCTCTCTTGTTCCTTCTCTCTGTCTCTCTTTCTCTCTCTTTCTCTCTCTGTCTCTTTTTCTTCTCTCTCTCATCTCTCATGTTCCTTCTCTCTCTCTCATCTTTCTCTCTCTTTCTCTCTCTGTCTCTTTTTCTTCTCTCTCTCATCTCTCATGTTCCTTCTCTCTCTCTCATCTTTCTCTCTCTGTCTCTCTCTCCCCTCTTTTTCTCCTTTCTCTCTTGTCTTTTCTTTGTGTCTCTCTCTCTTCTCTCTCTCTTGTGGGTGATGTGTGTGTTTGTTGTGATGTGGCTCTCTCTCTCTCTCTTGTATGTGTGTGTGTGTCTCTCTCTTGTGTGTGCGTGTGTGTGTGTGTGTGTGTGTAGCATGTGTCTCTCTCTCTTGTGTGCATCAGAACTGGCACACAAACACACAAGTGTGAGTGTGTGACGTGTGTGTGTTTGTTGTGATATGGCTCTCTCTCTTGTACGTGTGTGTTTGTCTCTCTCTCTTGAGTGTGTGTGTGACGTGTGTGTGTTGTGTGTGTGTTTGTGTGTCTGGGCGTGTGCCAGTGGAGCTCAGCTGTAACTCCAGGTTTTCTAAGGCAAACAGGAAGATCTGAGAAGCAAACACCAGTGTGTCATTACACTAGTGTGTGTGTCTTTATAGACGAGGTTACACAACGTGCCCAACTGATACCAGCTCCAAACACACAAACGCACACAAACGCACACGAACACACAAAACACACAAAACACACAATGCACATAAAACACACAACGCACATAAAACACACAATGCACACACAAACGCACATAAAACACACACGAACACACAAAACACACAACACACGACACACAACACAACACACACAACACACAACACACAAAACACACGACGCACACAAAACACACAACGCACATAAAACACACAACGCACATAAAACACACAATGCACATAAAACACACAACGCACATAGACACACAACGCACATAAAACACACAATGCACATAAAACACACAACGCACACATAAACACACAACGCACATAAAACACACAAAGCACACAACGCACATAGACACACAATGCACATAAAACACACAACACACACACAAACACACAACGCACATAAAACACAACACACACAAACAACACAAAACACACAATGCACATAAACACACAACACATAACACACAACGCACACAACACACACAAACACACACACAACGCACATAAAACACACAACACATAACACACAACGCACAACACACATCAACGCACACACACAACACACAACGCACATAAAACACACACATAAACACAAACGCACATAACACACACACAACACATACAAAACACACAAAGCACACAAACACACAGCACACATAAAACGCACATAAAACACACAACGCACACAAACACACAACGCACACAGACACACAAACACACAAAACACACACTCCAACCTCACTCAGTGACTGTGTGTGTGTGTGTGTGTGTGTGTGTGTGTGTGTGTGTGTGTGTGTGTCACTGTTCTTTCATTATGTCTAACAGGGCAGGAGCTGTTTGTCTGTATCTATGATTTGATACAGATTTTTTTTTTTTTCTCACACTGGATAATTAAGATTTCACCAGTTTTAATCCAAATCAGAGCAGATGTTGTTTACATGTTTATCCTCATCATATGCTGTTTATGAAGAAATTCTAAAGTCCCTTCAGTCACATTTGTATAGAAATCCTCTGCTTTACAAGAAGAAAGTCAGGAGTAAACGTGTTTTATAATAATCCTCAGTTTCACAACTTCGCTTTTTTTTTTTTAATCGCCATTACTAAAAATTTAAATGAATTTGATCCATTGCCCAGCCCTATTTTAAACCAACATGGGAGGGCATCTGGTTCTAATGTGTTTATAATGGGTTATTTAATTTATCATTTGTACTTTATTTACACGTCTTATATTACACAAAATGTACTCTTGTGAGCTTTTAGACATGTTAGAAAGTTGTTAGCACCTCAAAAAAAATAAAAAAATCCTGTATTACCACGTGACATCACAAGGTGGTACAGAGTGTTTCAGTTTGAGAGAAGAACTCAGACTAAATGTACAGGTTTGTGTGTTAAACATGTGTGAATGAAACAAATAAAACACAACTCCAGGTTTGTTTGTGATGAGGAAACATTAGAACATAGATCAGAAAATAATGTTATATGAGCCCTTTAATGAAGCATGATTAACTTATATCCATGTGTGTCAGAAAGATGAAACATTAAGACCGAGTTTGTTGTTGTGTTGTTGTGTGATCACGGCGTCAGGGTAACTCTCCTCTCTCTCTCTCCTGTCTGTGTGCGTCTGTCCCGTGTGCTTGTGTGTTTTGTATGTGTTGTTGTATGTTAGAATCCCAGTCCTCTCCTCCCTGGGGCTATGATCAGACCTACCCGTCCTACCTGAGTCCCATGGGGTCCCCCTCGCTCCACTCCACCGCCCCCCTCTCCTCGGGCCGCTCTACGGGCCTGCCTGCCATCACGGACGGGCCCAGACGATTGACAGGTAGAACCCCCGGAAAGAAAACAGTTTAGAAGTGATAATCGTGACTGATCTGTGTGTGTGTCTGTCTCCATTTATTTATTATTACAAGAACATATTGACCAACAGTACAAGTGCAGAAGGCTAGTTCCCATCTGTAGTCCTTTGTCAGATTTACAGTAGTAGTAGTAGTTGTAGTAGGAGTAGTAACTAGGGATGTAATAACCGAAATATTGTGATATCGTATCGTCAAAAGTCTCACAATAATATCACAGAATGTCCCAAAGTCAAAGTTTCTCTGCTTAAATGTATTTTTTTTATAGTAGTAACAGCTTATAAACATTGGGAACTGCATATCCCATGATTCATTTCAGCGCAGACAACATGAAGATATATGTTTTTGACTTGAATTCTTGGGAATAATTCACACCAAAATCTTGCCAAACTATTTTAAAAGCAAAAAAGTGTCAAATCTACAATTATATCAGCCTCTCCAAAATATCGTGAAAACATCGTACCGAGAGATTTGGATATTGTTGCATCCATAGTAGTAACTAGTAGTAGTAATCATGTCAGCATGTGAAAGTGAAATGTAGCTTTAGCTGATTGTAATACTGATTTATTCTTAATTACAAGAATCACAATGAGCCTCACATGACTCTCATTTGCGTTGCCAGTTCCAACGCCAAAACTCAGTGTGTTTAATCTTAAACTGCCTCTCTCTGATCTGAAAGATCACTCCCTAAACCCCAGCACCTGCACCAAACATGAGTCAGTGCTAGTGCAGCCTTTGCAGTGTGGCCTGTCTATAAACTGAGAATGAGACACACTTGTATGCGTCCTCTTTGTGCAGGTTGAGGCTTTGGAGACACAGATTCAGTCTCTGAAAGTGAAATTCCTTACAGTTCTTAAAACAGTAGCTCGTGAGCTCAGGCTTCATCCAATTCTTTTAAGTTCATTCCAAATAGACCATTTTAAATGAGCACATGTGCTACTGTTACCAGGACGACTGCAGCTGCTAATGGCCCCGTGGAAGAGTCCGTGAGGAGCTGGTGTTTTCCGAAGCGTCTCTGGAGAAAAGTTTGGAGGAACTTTTTCAAACTGTGAAGAAAAAAAGGATTGTTTCCTTTTTTCCTCGCTCTGAGGCTTTGATCCCAGAGGAGCCGTAATAACAGAGCCAGGCTTAATAACAGCCCCATGACTGACAAATAAAGTGTCTTTACAGCAATACGCTGCTCTCACAAGGCATTCTGGGTAATAGCCTTAGCCTGTAGTCTTTTGTACCAACAGCAGCATCTGTGTTCCAATTTGTCTGTTTGTGGATAGAGCTGGTTTCAAGTGTGTGGGAGCGTCCACCTGTTTGAGCGAGTGCCATGAGGCGGCCGAGTGTGAGGCTGCATTAGAAAAGGTTTCAGACTCACAGCTGCCGTGTCAGCTCTGATTAGGGCTCTCGCTCCGCACCTTTCATCTCCTGAGCAGGGCTTTTGTTCTCAAAGTGACACGAGCACGAGCGTGTGGCCTCACGTGCACGTGCATAAACACAGAGAGACCTGCGGCGCTTAAAGTGTCCTAAGTGATGTGACTACAGCTCTGTGATGTGCAGATCATGTTCACACCTCTCTCTGAGCTGTAACTGGAGCCCGCCTCAGAACATGGCTGATACACGCGCTTGTGCAAACTGTGAGCACACACGTCCTCACACAGCAGCTCCGGTGGCAAATGTCACAGCCACTAAGTCTCTGTTACAGAAAGTTCATTAAGTCGGATGTGATGCTCTCGTTTGGAAATCTGCAGCTCCTGTCTGGTTTCAGCCAGTGTAACCTTCAGGATTAGCTCCCATTAAAGGCCTACATGCTCACTCAAGGGCCTGTTCTGTCTCTGCACGGAGTTTATTCCAAAGTTACATTTAACGCTGCTATTTCCTCAGCGCATATGATAAAACATTGTACACATTGTACAGTTGTAGTTTTGATTCTCCATCGTGCTGCTTCAGGGAGTTTTTTGGCCTGTGGGACATGTCCCCCGATGACACAGACACATGTCCTGGAGTTAGATCACGCGCTGTTGTTTTTGTTAGGACCCAACACTGATCTCACAACACTGAAGCATCACAGAGCTCAGCACGTGTATGTTTGTGTGTGTGTGTGTGTGTGTGTGTGCGTGTGTGCGTGTATGTGTGTATATGTGTATATGTATGTGAGTGTGTGACTAAACCCATGGGCCATAGCGCATACAACAGTCTTTATTCATTTTTATGTTCATTTTATGTTCATTTTATTCATTTTTATGTTCTCTGGGATCCTGACTAGTTTCTTCATATCGGGCCATTGTTTCGGTGATAATAGGGGGCGGGGCGATGTACTTTCCCTATTTCACATTTGTCCGCGTAAAGTGCGAAAGTCTTAATTAACCACACAAGCTTTTTCTTCTTCTTCTTCCTCTTCTTCTTCTTCTTATTATTATTACATGAATGTATTAATGTTCTCTGAGATCCTGACTCATTTCCTCATATCGGCCCATTGTTCCGGTGATAATAGGGGGCGGGGCGATGTACTTTTGCTATTTCAGATCTGTCCGTGTAAAAGTGCAAAAGTTTTAATTAACCACACATGCTTTTTCTTCTTCGTCTTCTTTTTCTTCCTCTTCTTCTTCTTATTATTATCATTCTTACATGAATGTATTTATGTCCATGTACTAGATGAATCCGTGTCTCATTCGTTCATTCGTTTTTCAATATAAAACCAAAAATAAGAAAACAAAAAAACAACTGTTTTCTTCATTATTTGTCTCTAAAATCAAAATTTAAAAAACAGATAATGATTCGTTTTTTTCAGTTTTTGATTTTGTGTTTAAATGAAGAATGGAAAAAACGGATCATGGCCGTTTCCCGTTTACGTGACTTCCGTGACTGCGATGTCGGACTTTTGTGCCACATACGGACTGAACCAGGACTGAGACCAAGACCGGGACCAAACCGGGACTGAGACCGAGACCAGGGCCGGAGCTGGAAGTTGAGGCTCGGACCCTGCGGAGGCTTGGAGTCCGCTCTGGTCCCGGTCTGGTCCCGATCTCAGTCCCAGTCTGGTCCTGGTCTGGTCCCGGACCTGGATCAGTCCTGGTTTAGTCCGTATGCAGTGCAAAAGTCCGGCATCACAGTCACGGAAACGGGAAACGGCTGTTA